CAGGTGTCCTTCGTGCCTTGAGGAAGGGCCAGCTGGGCCAGCTTGCACATTGCTTGCACCTCAGCAAGTAGGTGCCCTGCTTCTGGATGAACATCCAGAGAAGACGGGTGCAGTGGACGAATCGTGTCCTCCAGAGTTATGTCCAAGTCCTGCCCTCCATGCCTGTGCATGTGGCCTTACTTAGACCTAGGGTCTTTGCATTTGTAATTAAGTTAAGGATCTAGGTGTGAGATCATCCTGGACTGTGGGTGGATCTTAAATCCAGGGACTGGTGTCCTTGTATGAGAAAGGAGAGGGATATTTGAGACACAGTGAGAAGTCAAGGTGAAGATGGAGGCAGAGACTGGAGGGATGCGTCACTAAGCCAGGCAACGCCGGGGGCTGCCAACCACCACCAGAGGCTGGGAAAGAGACATGGAACGGACGCTCCCTCAGAGCCGCCAAAGGGACCAATGCTGTTGAGGCCTTGGTTTTGGACTTCCGGCCTCCAGAACTGTGAGACGACACATGTCTGTTGTTTTAAGCCTCCCAGTTAACGGTGACTTGTTATGACAGCCTTGGGAAACTCACCCAATGGGAATACTCACTTATCGCAAGTGAAGTGTGAGACACTGATGAGAATGTAAGGGGAAACAGGCTCACACAATCACATCCCCTTCTCCCAGCAAAAAGAAAAAAGATGCAACGCCTTAGAAAACCCTAAGAACTTGCTACCGTAGCCACGGCTGCAGGACCACCACATGGGCCTGGGTCGCTGGCCTCGCACTCTCTCTCAGGGAAACACAGCCTGGTGAAAAGTCAGGAGCCAGCCTGGCTGGGTTTGAACCCTGGCTCCACCCTTAGCTGTGGGGCCTTAGGCAAGATATTTTATCTTTCTCCCTCCTAAGGTTGTTTTGACGATTAAATGGCCTACTTATATGTGTTATGTATTAGTCCATTTTCACGCTGCTGATAAAGACATACCCAAGACTGGGCAATTTACAAAAGAAAGAAGTCACAATCATGGTGGAAGACGAAAGGCATGTCTCACAAGGTGGCAGACAAGAGAAGAGAAAGAGAGCCAAATGGAAGAGGTTTCCCCTTATAAAGCCATCAGATCTTGTGATACGTATTAACTACCATGAGAACAGTATAGACGAAACTGCTCCCATGATTCAATTATCTCCCACTGGGTCCATCCCACAACAGGAGGGAATTACGAGAGCTACAATGCAAGATGAGATGTGGGTGGAGACACAGCCAAACCGTATCATGCTGTGTGTAAAGTATTGATAATAAACAGAGCAGTGTTAGCTATTACTATTAGTTCAGAGATCATATTTCAAAAGTGGGAGTATAGGTGGCTTAAGCATGGGAGGAGGATAATACTAAAGAATTAACTAGACCCCTGCCTCCAGTTACAGTTTAGCTCTGACTTATAGGGCTGAGCTACAGAAGCCTGCCAGACCTGAGCCACGGGCAGGAGACAGCACACAGCACAGTCTGGTGAGGGCTGAGGGGGCCAGCAGAGAGATGATGAGGCAAGGCTGGAGACACAGCCCAGACATGAGTCCAGCTGAGGACTGGTGGGTAACCATCCCGGGGTCTCTGCTGCATGTTTCCTGGTGGCATCAGAAATCTCGGCCACACTGTGTTCTCTTCCAATAAAATCACAAAGAGCACACAAAACATCTCCTTTAAACAAAAGTCAGCCACATAACAGAATGAAATCATCACTCCAGAAATAATTGTAAAAGAAGACTCCACAATTCATGCCAGCAGCCTTGACAATAAGTGGCCCAGTCAAAAATTCACAAGATGATTCACCATAATGGCTAAAAGTTTCAGGTCTGGTGTCCAACTTTGTGGGTGAGAATCCCATCCCAGCAACTACTAACAGTGTGACATTAGCCAGGTTCTTTAACCCCTCTTTGTCTTAGTTTCTTCTGTAAAGTATAAGGATCAATGAGATTTTATATAAAACCCTTAGTGTAATACTTCACCTGTAGGAAGACTTCAGTACTTGTGAGCATTCAGCACTGTTTTTTCTAAACAAAAGCGCAGGTATATTGGCATCACGCATAACCAAGTGTTGTAATAATAGACAAAGAACTCCTAAAATCAATGAGAAATAGAATCACCCCAATACAAAAGAAGGACAGAAAGCTTCTGAAACAAGCAAGTCAAAAACAAAGAAACCCAAATAGTCAATGCACATGGAACAAAAAAGATCAATCTGACCTGTAATAATAAAAATACAAAATAACAACACACACACACACACACAAAACCAAACAGAATATGTGAAATTTAAAGGACTACCAATATAACGTGTTGGCAAGGATGTGGAGCAACTGGAACTCACACGCACTTCTGGTAGGAGTGTAAACTGATACAACCACTTAGACAAAAGATTTGGAAGTATCTACAAAAACTAAATATACAATCTGACTCAACCCTTCCACTCCTAGGCACATATTCCTTGGGTGCGGGTGTTCATATCTACCAAATGACATTACAAGAATGTGCATTAACAGCCCCACACTGAGACAACCAAAATATCTTTCCACAGACGAATGGTTTATCCATGCAGTGAGGTATACGCAGCGATGAGAATGAGAAAACTACCAATACACACCAACACAGGAGAATCTCACACACATCACGCAGAGCAAAAGAAGCCAGACACAAAACAGTAGGTATTGTACATTTCCACTTATATGAGGGTCAGAAACAGGTAAGACTATTCCAAAGTGAAAAAGGCTAGAATAGAGATTACTTGTCATCAGGGGACATTAGCTGGGAGAGGGTACAGACAGCCTTCTGGAGTGGTGGAAATGTTTTGTACGTTGATCTGGGTAGTGGTTACATGGGCATCTCTATACACAAAAATTCATTGAGTTGTGCACTTAACATGAGTGCATTTTCTGTAAGTTGTGTCTTCACAAAAGATAAAATTTAAAAAAAAATAAATAGTAATGAGATGTCGGCCAGGCACAGTGGCTCACACTTGTAATCCTAGCACTTTGGGAGTCCAAGGGGGGCACAGATCACCTGAGATCAGGAGTTTGAGATGAGCCAGGCCAACATTGCGAAACTCCGTCGCTACTAAAAATACAAAAGTTAGCCAGACATGGTGGCACGTGCCTGTAATCCCAGTTACTTGGGAGGCTGTGGCAAGAGAATCACTTGAACCCAGGAAGGAGAGGTTGCAGTGAGCCTGGGTGACAGAGTGAGACTGTCTCAAAAAAAAAAAAAAAAAAGACATAAAAGTGACTCATCAGAGCTCCATCCATCAGGCTACAGGCTACAAATGTGGCTGGGCCACGTGGACAGAAAGACACACGGCCTGGGTGTGGGAGAGGAAAACACACTGCTTTCAGGGAGGTGGAATTAGGGGTTTCCCTTTCCCTTCTCCCTCAAAGCCTTTTCCAATGAATCTAGAATTTTTAGTTTCTTAATAATGTTCCTGTTGCTCTGCCATCTAGATGCAAAGGAGATCTATTCACAATATCTCCAAGAATGACCTCCCTAAGAGCAGCAGAGTGCTCAAGGCCTGCTTTCCCAGGGATTCATTTTCTTTTTGCTTTTTTTTTTTTTTTTTTTTTGAGACAGAGTTTCGCACTTGTTGCCCAGGCTGGAGTGCAGTGGCACAATCTCAGCTCACTGCAATCTCTGCCTCCTGGGTTCAAGGAGTTCTCCTGCCTCAGCCTCCTGAGTAGCTGGGATTGCAGGCGTCCACCATCATGCTGGGCTAATTTTTTTTTTTTTTTTTTTTAAGTAGAGACGGAGTTTCACCATGTTAGCCAGGCTGGCCTTGAACTCCTGACCTCAGGTGATCCACTTGCCTCAGCCTCCTAAAGTGCTGGGATCACAGGTGTGAGCCACCGTGCCTGACCAGGGTTCATTTTCAATGCTGTTGACACGAAGGCTAAGATTGCAGGGGAGGTCACAGTTTTAGGATCTCAGCTTTGAGAATGCTGCCTTTTTAACCCCTTCAGCGTTTCCATCTTATTGGAAAAAGGGCAGGCAGGAGGGAGGGAGGCAGCTGGGCATTCTTCCTGTCCAGGGGCCAGCTCTGCCCTCCTGGTCCTCACTCCCAGCCCCGCTCCTTCCTTCCCCTGTTCTGTGCCTCTCCTATCTACTCCTTCCACATCGCTAGCCACCTCACAGGCTCTTCATGGGGCTCAGGTGAGATAATGCAGGGTGAAAGTTCTTTGTAAATGAACGCATCAACTCTACGTTCCATTTGCTGTCATGATCTCCTGTGTCTTTGTTCCATTTGTGCAGGTGACCTGTCCTCTCTCCAGTCCCCGTCCCCTCACCCCCGGTTTCATGGATAAGGACCAGCTGTAGACTCTGCCAGGCCTTGGGCAGTGTTGGTATCATGCTTGGAGGTGCTGCTCAATTATGCAACCCATCCTTCGCCCCCAGCCAGAGCCACAAAGCCACTAGGGCACTGTAGCGGTTTGTTTATTTATTTACTTACTTACTTATTTATTATTTTTGAGATGGCATCTCGCTTTGTCACCCAGGCCGGAGTACAGTAGCACGATCTTGGCTCACCACAACGTCCGCCTCCCAGGTTCAAGCGATTCTCCTGCCTCAGCCTCCCGAGTAGCTGGGATTACAGGCACACGACATCACGCCCAACTAATTTTTGTATTTTCAGTAGAGTCGGGGTTTTCCCATGTTGGTCAGGCTGGTCTCGAACTCCTAACCTCAGGTGATCCACCTGCCTTGGCCTCCCAAAGTGCTGGGATTACAGGTGCGAACCTCCGCTCCGGGCCCCAGTGTGCCAGTTTAGCGCGGTAAGGCACAGAGCCTTGCATGAACCGGCACTTGGGGGACCCCGTGACGAGGTCAGAGCGGGTGAGAGGCATGCACCAGTGTGACTGAGCCGCTCGCTGGGACTCTGGGGGCAGCGTGGTGTGGCTTGAGAACAAGGAAGTGTCTGCAAGTGGATTCAACTGCAAGACACTTTCCCGGCCCACAGGGTGGAGGGGTTTGCCTGCACTTACCAGAGACAGTCCCCGGGTGAGCTTGATAAGCTGAAAGAGACGCTCAGGAGAGCCCTGACGGCGCTCCCCAGGCTGGAAAGGACAGAACTCCACACTGGCACTTTCATCTTCGAAGTTCAGCACCTCAGTTAAGTAATTAATAGGTCTGGTCACGTTCACAGCTCTCCAAAACCGACTCTTGGAAAAGCTCTGCTTTTCTTCCGGAAGTGTTTTCATGGCAAGCCCACAGAAGCCCCCTAGGAGGCAGCCTGTCATCCAATAATCACTTCCTCTCTCAGACCCAAATTCCAAACCCGCTCAGCAATGGGCAGGGCAGCCCTGAGCCATGTCCAGAGATTGGGATCTGCTGCCTCCTGGAGGATATTCTGAGTATAAACAATGAGTACAAACAATGCGTTCAGTAATGGGAAGAAAACAGCTGTTTTTGTCCGAGGAGTGTCTGGCATACCCAAGACTCCTTAAAGAGAGGAAAATATTAACCTAGAGCATAACAACTCCTTTCTCTTTTCAGTCAAAACCTAGACAGACTGTGTTGATATTAAGTTAACAAGTTCCATGGGCTAATACCTTCCGAATGAAATGAGAGTGTTCTTGAATTAATAGATGAAAACTCCCCTTCATACATCAGAGAACTAAGGAAAGGTAATTGCCCTCAATATTTATTTTCGATTTGGAAAATCCAAAGCAAGAAGGCTTTGAAGAAGTCAAGATCTGATTATAATTCTAGGCTCGGTGCCAATGGGATGAATTGTCTGGCAACTTCTTTTGCACAGCTATCGACCCCATTTGCCTCTGACGCCAAGCGCCCAGCATGGCACAAAGCCTCACAAAGTGCTCCTAAAAAGGTGTCCTCCCCACACCATTGATAAGACTCAGAGTCCCCATGGCCATAATGCAACCCCCTCCTCCCCGGGTGGCTGTTGTCACCTCAACCCGCTAAGAGATCGGGAAGTAGGATTTGCCAGTGAGGAGCCTGGAGCCTTCAAGCCTGTTTGGCCATGGTGTTCTTGTGATTTAGTACCCTGGACTGGCAGGTCTGGGGACTTTTTGCTCTAGACAAACTTTTTAAATAGGCCAGGTGCAGTGGCTCCAACCTGTAATCCCAGTGCTTTGGGAGGCTGAGAGGGGAGGGTTTCTTGAGCCCAGGAGTTTGAGGCTGCAGCCAGCCATGATCACACCACTGCACTCCAGCCTGGGAGACAGAAGAAGACCCTGTTTCAAAAAAATTTTTTAATAAATATAAATGTTAAAAATAAAAAACCCTAACGCACACACACACACATACATGCACACACACATATACATGCACACACATGTACACACACACATATGCATATGCAAAGTGTATGCCCAAGCTATACTCTCTTTACTTGAGTTTTAATTTACAGAAGTTTCAACCTGGCCAGGCCCAGAATCATGGAGAATGGGCTGGGAATGGGTCTGCGGAGGTTCCCGAGGACATGTTTGAAAAGCATTCTCCACCTGGGGGAGCTGGGTCAGAATTAGCACACTCTAGGAGAGTTGGGCAACAGCCAAGAGCGGGGCACACCAGCTCGACTAACCGAGCCTGAACCAGTGGGAAACTCCTCATGGCAGTGATCACTGGAGCAGGCAGGGTCATGGCTGGCTAGGGCTCCCACCTCCGCCCCTCCCCAAGCGCAGGTGGGCACGCCATGGTGGGGCTGGGGAAAGGGCTTATGGCCAGGGAAGCACAGAATGACAACAAACAAACAGTCAAGGCCTAACAAACAGAAACAGCAATGCAAATTGCCTAGAAAATGGAGTGGCAGTCACTGTAGCTGGCACTGCCCAGACTTTGGTTGGCTTCAGGGTGACAGGTCAAGAAGGCAGCTCCTCCTGCAGGCCAATGAGTTTGCTCCAAGAGCAGCGCTTTCCAGCTGACGCCCAGAGTGACCCAAAGGCTCTCCCGGAAAGTCCAGTTCGAAGATGATACAGCTGCCCGTCATGGAGCAACCTGCCCAAAACCGCAGGGGGAAAAAAAATCCAATAACCAAATCCCGGTGACCGCACCCTGTCTGCAGTTACTCAGAACTCACTGGCCAAGGTCCAGGGAGCAGACCGAGTCAGGCTGAAGTCTATCCACATTTAATTTTCAATTGAAAATGGAAATAAGTCAAGCCAAGACAAACCCAGGGCCTGATTTAACAGCATCAATGGCCATGGCAAAGACATTGTCATGGGGGGGTGCCACAGATCAGCCACCACCACCCCAGGGGAAGGTTGACACCACCACATCCAGACACTATTCACTCACCTTTCATACCGAAGCTCATCCACTGCATAGCGGCTCAACGGCATTGCTACTGTTGTGTTCTTTTTACAGGTGAGGAAGCTGAGGCACACGAAGTTGAGTGACTAAGCTCTCAGTGTAAATGGTGGGGCGGGTTTGAACTCATGTGTCTGGCTCTTTGGTTCTACATGCGTTAATTCTGATTATGGTGAAAGTCTGAATGGCTAGAAATAGTTGGAGTTTGTGCCCGGAGGACAGCTGCAGAGAAGTGACCGTGGCTGACCCTGGGCAGCAGTGCTTGCTCTTGCTGGGAATCGTCAGGGCCTCTGCCAGCCTTCCCTGGGGGCACCAGGTGAGGTTATCATGGATTTGAGGTCCTCTGTACCGGAGGCAGGACGCAGACACCATGAACAGCTCCAGGCAGGTGTTCATTCGCTGGTGGAACATTTGCGATGTGCTCAGCCCTGCTGGGGGTGGGGGATGTGGGAATATTTGCACTGTTGGGTTAGGCAGGGCTCAGAGGGGAAGGCATCATGGAAGAGGATTTGTCTTGAGGAAGGAACACAGGAGACATGGCCGTGCCGTAAGAAGGAAGAGGCCTCTCTTTAGGTCAGGATTTGACATCAGAAAAGAAGAGATCACGCCAGGGAAGGGCCAGGAGACCTGCCTCCCAGGGCAGAGAACGCCCCACTCCAGCCCCTCCTGGGGGAACCCTCTCCAGCTGCAGACCCCAGGGTGGGTGAGCAGCGATGTGATACCTTAGATGGATCCCACATCCCCTTCAGAAGCTGAAGGGTTTTAGCCGACAATGCGCCTCCGGGGTGTGCCTCATTTCCAATGTCCAGCGTCCTGGAGTCTTGAGGTGGCACCTTGAGGGCTACCCTTGTTGCCCAACCTCATGTTTCCCTCTAAGGGAAAGGCTCGTGCCCCCACTGCCAGGCAGCCCCTGACACAGGGGACTCTTGTGAGCAGGTCAACACGCAGCATGGATATGTGGAGGGACTCAGAGGTCTCTTGGTCGTGTCCCCTGTGTCTAATCCCCATTGCACAAGGAACTTGACTTCTCTGAACATTTATTTCCTCCTCTAAAAGATGGCCACCATGAGGCTGGATGCCTGTGGTAAGTAGAATTTTAAAAGATTGATTTAGTAAAATATATACAATAATAATAGGCTTGGCTCGGGGTTTGCAGGGAGAGTGCGAGCTTTGGGGGAATGCGACACATTTTTGGGTATTAGAAGATGACAGCAAGCAGAGCAAGATACCCCAGAGGACAGGCCAGGAAGTCCCCTCTGCAATCTGCATGTCTGGAGACTTGCAAGGCAAGAAGCAGGTGAATGAGAAGCAGGTGAAGGTAGAAACAGCTCTCCTGTCCTGGTGACTCCTCTCCTGGGGTAGCCGGTGCTCCTGGGTCTGTGTTGAGCCTGCTGTGTAGAACTTGGCCTGATCAGATACAAAGGGAGCAGCAGGAGTGACAGGCACAGTGAAAAACTGAGCATCCCACAGACCTAAGTTTGTGTCTTTGTTTTGAAGCTCACCAGCCTTGGACCTTCAGACAAATTCCCAGACTTCCTATCTGCAAAGTGGGGTCAAGAGTCCTCAGAAGGTTTGAGTGAAGAACACAAGAGATAATGCATTAAATGCCTGGCACACAATTCATCCATTCGTCTTTGGGTATTCCCTCTTTTTTTGAGATTTCTTTCTATTTGTATTTTTTAGAAATAGTGTCTTGCTCTGTTGCCCGGCTGGAGTGCAGTGGGGAGATCATAGCTCAATGCAGCCTTGACCTCCTGGGCTCAAGCAATCCTCCGACCTCAGTGAGGGGGTCTATGTGTGTTTAGGCATGTGTGCATGCTTTGGGGGAGAACCTTTCAAGAGGTTAAGAGCCACTGCTCTGAAAACAACGTCTCCCTCAAAGACCACCATAATCAGGCATGTAGTATGTCTCGGCGGTTGTCCCAGTATAGCAGCACCTGAGGGTACGTGAGTGTGCAAAAGTGGTGGCATTTGTGGCGGCCTGAGAACCCACCAAGTTGGGCTAAACACTACTTTTACAAGTGATATGCATCAAGCTCTTTTTAGCAGGCACTTCTGGAGCACTATCTTCCTGGGCGCTACTGTATCCAAACACTGGCCATCGCAGATATTTTTGTTAATCCCTGTTATGCAGGTGGAGGCCTTGACAGTCAGATATTTTGTGGCTAGTCCAAGATTGCTCAGCTGATAGCCTGTTGGCCTGTTATGCAGAACCCCTGCCTTCAGGTGACACTGGGTCCCACAGGCATGGTAAGGGACCTCCAGTCTGAGCTACTCACTCAGTTGGTGGAGGTGACAGAAAGGAGTCCATGATAAGGATTCTACAGCCTCCCTGGCTGGAGGAACACCTGGTTCCCTCCAGGTCTCCCACTATTCTCCCTTGCTCTTCCCTTAGACCAGACACTGGTGTCAGTGGCTTATTTAAAAATTGTTCCTTTGAATGAACACTCTGGGTCCTTGGCCAGAAGGCAACAAGTGCAAACTTGGTAATGGCTCAGTGCCCGCCATCCTCCTGAACTCCCCACACCACACGTCACAGTCCCTTCTATCCAAGCAGGAATCACAGAAGGAAATGGGTCTGCTCAAAGAGAGAAAAGGTCTCTGATGTGAAAGGCAATGGGATTTCCTTTCCTCTTCCTCTTCCCCTCTGGCCTTCCACAGGGTCAGACTGCACCAGAGCCTGAGAGGGTTCTCCCACTTTCTTAGCCCCTTCCAGAGTGTGTTTCCCAGTAAATCCCTCAGGGTTGTCTAATCCCATCTTGGTATCTGTTTCTGGAAGACCCAAACTACACAGCGCTCAAACCATTTTAGTTCCTTCTCCTTTCTGTTAAATACATGGGTTTAAAGGCCGCGTGTTTAAG